TTTCCACCACAAATAAAATCATAATTGTAGCGGGTTTACAGCTGAATTTTACTGTCTATATTGGTTTTTAAATTCACAAAAAGACACAAACCCCATATTTATTCATGGTGTGGAAGATCTAGTTTACGCTATTGTGAACCAAACACTGTGTTTATGTCAACTTTTAATATTGTAGACAACCTTAAGGCAATACAAGATATTAGCAGGACTCAATAGACGACTGAAGCCCAATGAAGATCACACAACTTTTCCTTCTTACATTTTATTATCATTAACATGGAAAAACATCAAAACTAGAGAGATCCAAAGACATGAAGTTAAAAAAAGATGACAGATGAAACCTTTTTGTACCTTTTAATGTATTAAATCTGTCTTGACATTTCATGGCTTAATCTAAATGCTCAGACACACAGAGGAAAACAGGATTTAAAACCTTGTGATTAGGAAAACAAAGAAAGAAAGAAAATCAGTGATTGCAGTGAAATTATTTTCTGTCCATTGCTTCCTCCAAGTTCTGGTTGCTCAGAGGTTTAGTGTTCACAACTCTCAACCTCTGGGCAACTGCTTTCAATCACATGGTGACTGCACCGGTCGGACTTGCAAAGAGCATACAAGTTGACCAAGTTTTCCAAATATAGCAGTCTAGTTGATTAAAGCAGACAACATATCACCATCAATCTCAGGCCGTCCATGCAACTCGTCTGCACGTGTCTCAAGATGCTCTCAAGGTTCCTGAGCATCGATGTTATTTTGCCATAAGGCAGCAAGTACATCAGTATTTGTGGAGCCTCTCGCTGGAGTCTGAATCGAACTAGTTATGCACTTTTACTTATTTAGTTCATAGGCCCATTCAATCACAAACTCTGAGGCAATAGGACTGAGCAGGCTGACTCAGGCTTATTGCCATTTTATCAGCACAACAAAGTCATTGTGAAGTTGGCAACTCTGGTCCCGTCTTCAAAGAAACCACTTCAAAGGCAGATTGCAGGTCTAGTGCACAGAGTTGCAGTAATTTGGTCATGTTCTCCAACCTCTCTGTTCCTTAGTGACTGTATCATGACAGAAAAGCTTGGAACATTTTAGACATGTTCAAGAGGAAGAAAAAAAAAATCCAGGTAACTTCAGTAAAAGCAGCAACTCAACAATAAAACGAGTGTTGATTTATTAACAATTATTAAGAACAAATGATGTAAACATGCACTGAAATAAGAACAGCGATGGTGAAAATGGTATTAGCCTTAGTGTTGAAGTAAGGATGTATATACATCCAGTAGTGTTAAAACCAGCAGAATGTCATATTGCTGCCATCAGGGGGTAGAAAAAAAAACTTAAACCTTAAAGTTAAGCAGCTTTTGTTTGACATTTTTAAATAAATGCTGTTTGAGACACAATTTTTACAGAACTTGGTTTAGAATTTTTAAGTTTTGGTGCAATGATTCACACTATTTCTCCGCCCATTTCTCTTTCCTTTAACTTGTAAGGTTCTAAATCGCAGAAGATTGCCTCCTTTGCAGATACATCTATCCAGCAAGCTCAGCCTTCGGACAATATTTAGGTTAAAGCTATCAGTTCCAATCGATACGGGTCTTCGATTGACCAGGGCCAAACTGTGATGGCTAGACAACTGAGTCAGAGCATCTCCAAAACTGCAGCTCTTTGGGGTGTTCCTGGTCTGCAGTGGTAAGTATATGTCAAAATGGTCCAGGAAAGGAAATGGTGAATCAGTGAAAGGGTCACGTGTGAGGAGGGAAGGCTGGCCCATGTGGTCTGAA